GGAGCTGGCGACAGGACAGCAGTGATTTCCATACTGAATAATGGAGAAGGGCAAGAGAAATAACAAATCATACATTTACAGACATATGATCCTGACTCCTTGGATGGTTTCCTGAGCACAGCTGGCACAGCCCCCAGTGCTGCACTTCAGGGCAATTCCCACAGCCAGCGCTCGCTTGGGCCCCAAAGCCCCATGCTATCCCCTTGGCCACGTGCACCAGTGGTGGTACAAGACCTTTGCAGGGCAGTGAGCAGCACAGCATGCTCCTAAACACTGCAAATCTCTGCTCCTGAATGGGGCTTGCTGTCGGAAAGCCTCTTGCTGAGGCGTCTTTTCATGCTTCTTGCCTCCTAAACAACTTGATGGCGCTTGACTGTAATCCTAAAATGTTTTAATGATGGTTTATTTTCCAAGCAGGACATGCTTCTCCTCACCATGGTCGTCTGGCTCAGGCTCAGTGCATGAGGAGCCAGTGGGATCCTTGGGGTGCGGGGAGGGTGCAGGGTCCCTTTGCTGATGGTGCTGCCCACCAGCTCCCAGTGTAGCAATGGGGCTCTGCAGGGACAGCGAGGTCTGTCTGGGGTGGTGATAGATGGGGGTGGCAGTGGCAGTGTGGGTGAGCATCTCTGCTGGGTGCCTGTAGACTGGAATTGTTTCTTGCTCTGGCTGCCAGATGCAAGCCTGGATGGAAGTCACAGGGAGATATTTTGTGCGTGCAGAGCTCCGACGCAAAGCTGGAACACTGCATGATGCACGCTCTGTCTTGCTGGGGACAGCTGAATCTGTGGGGCTTGGATTCATGCTGTGACCCCACAGATGTCCTCATGCTACCTCCAGTGTTAGGTCCTGTGGTGCTGAGCAAGGCGATGCTGCCGGTTCTGCTGCCGGAAGCCCTGCGTGTCCTTCCCTGGCGCTGTGCTGTGTCATTAATATCTCTGTCACAGGGCAAGTTGCAGGCGAGATAATATTGATACAGCCATTAGACTGCATGGAGAACAAGAACGAGGCTGCAGGGGGGTGCAGGGCTGGGGGCTGCCGATGTGCAGCAGGCACTGATGACACCCAGACCAGGAGCGCCCCTCTCTCTGCCCCATGGACACTGCAGCCATGTGCTCGCTCCCCTGGCACCAGTGCACGGTGCCGATCCCACATCTCCCACCCCAAAACAGAGGACGTGTCCCCCTGGCACCTCACCTCCCGCTGCTGCTCCCGCGCTACCTGCGCCACCGGGAGCCCTGAAAATAACACACAACTGCTTAAGGATGTGAGCTCCGTATTAAATCTCGGTGAAAAGGAGCAATTATGCTGTCAGAGGAGGTGATATAATTTGGGAGAGCTCGTTGCGCAGCTGTAATTTTTTCCCACCGTTGGCTGCGGTGTGCAAAGCTCCAGCATGGGCAGCCTCAGGCACCCCAGGGCCAGCTCTGCCCATGGGCAGGGGCACATTTCTGCCCACTGTGAACACTTCATACATGCTGGGAGCGTGGGCTGCCCACTGCTGCTGATGCCCCGTGCCTGCGGGCGCAGCGCTGTGCTGCAGCAGCATCCCAGTACGGTGCTGGTGTGGGTACTGGTGCGGCTGTGGGTACCGGTGTGGGGTACAGAGGGTTAATGCTTCCATTGCTGGGGGAGAGTAATTAAGTGCTAACTTGTCATTTTTTTTAATGAAGTACCGGAGCTGCAGATTTATAATTGCTAATGAGCCAGAATAATAATTAGTTGTTTTTTAATAAGGCCGATGATCACTCGGAGGGAGAAGAAGAGCTGGGCACTGCTTTGGCCTAATTTTTCTTGCAGCATGTCCAACTACCCAGGCTGGCCTTGTCCCCACAGCTCAGCTCTGTGCCTGGACCTCTCCCCATGCACCCTGGCTCATGTCCCCCTTCAGTGCCCCCTGAGTGCCATGGTGGCTGCACGGGGAGGTGACAGTCCTTCTCCATAGGAATACCAGGATGCTGAGGTCACCTCCTGATGGCACTGCTCAGGGAAGTGGTGGCACCTGGGGATGAGCCATGAGGAAGCCGCACAGGGGGCAAGGGGAAGGCAGGGCTGAGATAGATAACTAATTGGGATAGCTGATTAGGTAATTGCAGTTGATTAGCTTTGATTAGAATAAGCCTTGGCCAAGGCTCAGGGAGCCAAGCTCCATGTCAACCCCACTGCAGAGCCCTGGAGTGGCCCAGGACCCCCATCTGCCCCCCCTTGGCTCAATGCGTACCTTTCTCATTACATCAGAATGGGGGGAGCTGCCAGTGGTGGCCTCCAAGGAGTCACCAAGCAGGCGGTGGGGAGCAGGAGAGCTCTGTGATATTGTTTCAAAGAATTAAAAAAAATAAAATAAAATAGCACACACAGAAAGCAGAAATGGAAGTGACAAAACTCAGCAGGGCGTTTTCATGCCCTTGATTTTTCTACTGAAAGAAGTAATGAAGGCATTGCAGGTAATCTTCAGCTCTCCGAGAACATCCCCCGGCTCCAGCATGGCCCCAAAATGGTCTCGGTGGTGTTTCTGCCCCTGGGTGCAGCTGGATCTGCTGGGCGAAGTCGGTTCATTGGAGGGGATGATGCTGCAAAATGCTTTTGGGATCGATGGAAATGGCTGCTCTCCTGCTGGGCTGTGTCACCCCGCTGTCCCCTGAGCCACCCCCCACCTTGTCCCCTTACTTTACTCTTTGCCATTTCACCCTGGCCATCTCGAGGGGATCTGGGCACCATCAGGCAGTTCCTTGGGGCAGGGAAGTGCTGTGGGGTCACCACCCATCCACACACATCCCCGTCTCCCATCCCAATAAGCATCAACCCACCCTGCTCCATTAAAGACAGCTCCATTAAAACAACATGCGCTCTCATCTCTCAAAGGCATCGTTAAATTTGTCCGTGACTGAACCAGAGGTGGTGGGGAAGAGCACAAATATTGTTGGGGTGAGAAGTGCTGGGGGCACAGCACTGGGACCCCCATATCCTCTCACCCCGCTCACTGCTGCGCTGCTGCTCTTCATGCTGCCCTGATTTCTGCTACTTCACCGGAGCTGAAGCCTGACCTTTTTTAATATTCGAGGCTGCGATTTCGGGGCCGGGAGCAACTTGGGGAGGGAAAGGTAGGAGAGGGTGAGGTGGAGGGGAAAAAGCAGCGCAGCCCCCCAGCAGCATCTGGGTTTCAAAAATCAACGGGGGCTGAGCAGGGGCAGGGGATGCTGTGGGATGTAATCTGTGCTCGAGTGGGGGAGAATAGGGAAATGGCATCTGCAGCCCTTGGAAATCAGCGTTTTCCTGCAGGAAAGAGCTCTGCGCGGTGCTGGGTGTGGATGCGGTGCTGTGTGGGCACAAGGAGCCAGGGCTGGAGCTGAAGGTCAGAGATGGGTGGCTGCCCATTGAAAAATAAATGTGAGCTGTCATGTGCTCAGTACTGGGAGTGAGAGCAGGGCTGGGCAAACTCAGCCTGGTTTGAAATTGCAGCCCTGTGCCGCGCCACAGACGAAGTCCCGATAATTGCGCTTTCTTTTCTTCCTTTCTTTCCCTTTTCCCCTGCTGAGCTGCAATAATTGGGTGCTGTCGCCCGAGCTCATCCGCTGCTGGCTGCCTGAAAGGAGCTCTGCAATTAGCGAGTGTCACCCTGTAATAAAGGCTTTAATATCCCCCGTCACGGCTCACGCTGCAGCTGCTCAACCCTGTCCTGCACTGCACGGCCTTGAGAAGCTCTTGCATGGTACATGCATTCCATCTTGTCCCATCCCATCCTTCTTAACCCATATCCATCCCACCCATCCATCCCATCCCATCCCATCCCATCCCATCCCATCCCATCCCATCCCATCCCATCCCATCCCATTCATCCCATCCCAT